GAAAATTATTCGCTACCATATAATCTCACAACACTAACTCTAAATCAACTAACCCTAAATCTAAATCAGGCCAATTTGATGTCAAGGAAATGGTTGTCGGAGAAATGTCTTGTCTAAGAAAAGGATTGTTGAAAACATGTAATGCCAAATATATGTCTGTCGAAAAAATGTGCTGTAGATGAAATATCATGCCAGTATTATGGTGTCTGGGGAATTTGTTGGAGGGTAAATAACTTTTGGGGAATTGAGCGACAGCCATAATTTTTATTTTTATTTTTTTTTTTATTTAATTATTTTTTGGTTCTTTTGTTTTTTGTTTTTTTTTCATTAATTTAATTGTGTCAGATTTATTGGTTTATTTTTATTTATATAACAAGATTAAAAATCCATTTAATAGGTTGTCGATTCTTGAATTTTTATCAGCTACTTACTAGTCGACTCAAGGACCCGGTCAAAAAGCCTTTTCACATAGGTAAACATCCTATAATTGATTATAGGAAAGTAGGCATGCAATTTCATCAAGGATTGCGTAATGACAACTAGTGTTTGCAGGTAAAACTAGTTTCGACTTCGCCAAAAAAAAAATCGAAATGGCGAAACTGGCGAAACTGCGAAACTGGCGAAACTGCTAATAGAGGTGGCAAAATTGGAAAAAGGTAGTAAAATTAGTAAAACATAGTAAAACTAGCAAGAATAGAAAGGTAATTGAAGAAAATTAAGTTTTTTATATAATCATCAATATTTTTATTTATATATATATATATCATAGCGTGATACTCTTATTTATCATGCATCAATTTGATTGGCTAATTTTGTCGATCATCTTATACGAATTTAATAAAAAAAAAAAACTTTAAACTTTTTTAAATTTTTACTAATAATATTATAATAAAACTAGACGGCTCAGTCTTTTCAGAAGTCTTAGAGGATTTGATCTTCGTCAAGTTTTGACTTTCCCTAGGGGTTCAACTTTAGCAGGAGTTTCGCCAGAGTTTCGCCAGGTTTCGTCTTTCGCCGGGTTTAGGTTCATCTTTCGCCATTTGTCAAAAATAGTTTCGACTGCCAACACTAATGACAACTAAATGATTTAATAAAGCATGAAAAATGTTTTGGTAAATGCATAAACATTTCTTTACTGTATTATTTAAATTTTTTTTAACTTTTATTAATGAATTACTCATTTTTTATTGGAATTTTTATTATTTTACTACAGGTTTATCAAAGATAATCTTCTTTTCTCCATGTTATTTTATTAATTACTTTAACTTTTTATCTTTTTGACTTTTTATCTCTTTAATTCTATTTTTTCAACTCTTTATTTTTCTAATTTTCTAATTCTTCATTTCTCTAATTTTCTATCTTTCTGTTTCTTCATTTCTCTGTTACTTTACCTTTCTGTTTTATTGACATCTTGCCTCTATGGTTTTTTGTCTCTCTGATTCTGTTTCTTTGGTTCTGTTTCTTTAGTTTTTTGTTTATTTCTCTCTGTCTTTCAGTCACTGTCTCTTGGTCTCTGTCTTTCAGTCTTCTGTCTCTCGGTCTCTGTCTTTCAGTCTTCTGTCTCTCGGTCTCTGTCTTTCAGTCTTCTGTCTCTCGGTCTCTGTCTTTCAGTCTTCTGTCTCTCAGTCTCTGTCTTCTGTCTCTCAGTCTCTGTCTTTTGTCTCTCGGTCTCTGTCTTCTGTCTCTGTCTTTCTGTCTTCGGTCTCTGTCTTTCTGTCTCTCGGTCTCCATCTTTCTGTCTCTCAGTCTCTGTCTTTCTGTTTCTCAGTCACAGTTTTTCTGTTTCTCGGTCTCTGTCTTTCTGTCTCTTGGTCTCTGTCTTTCTATCTTCTGGACTCTTTGTCTTCTGGTTTCTCAATCTTCTGGTCTCTTAGAAATATAATACATTTTTTGGTAAAATTTAATTTTATCTAAATAGTAAGTTTTTTTTGATAATATACTGTAATTATATTAATTTAAAGCTATAATTATTATTTTAAATAGAAATTTTGGGTTTTGGAATTAATTTTATCTATAATTTGTGGGATAACTGAGAGAGTACCT